AAGAGGCAGCCCCCCCAAAACCACCCCACCCGTGGGTGCAGCCCCCGTGGGGAGGGGAAAGTGGGGTTACCCCAGCTGCGTGGGGCAGGGGGGAGCTGCTCAGTGCGGGGAAGGGGTCCAGGACACCGTGGCCCTATGGGGAAGAGATGCTCAGACCCCAACCCACAGCACGCCCGGGGCTACAGATGAGGAAAGCAGGGTGCCGGGGAGGAAAACTGCCCCAAAAGCCCCCCCAAATATGTCTGTCCCCCCCAAACCCTGCCGAGAGCTGCGCCCAGCCCCGCTTGCAGCCCCCACGCCCCAGCCCAAGGCCATGTTTACAGGAGCTCAGAAAGAAGCAAGGAAAAAAAAAAAAAAAAAAAAAAAAGCTCTCTGCAGCTGAGTTCCTGGAAGAAAGATCCATCAGAGGCCATTAGGCACGAAAAGCCTCCTCCCTGCAGCTGCGGTGATGGGCTGGCCCCTGCCCCGCACGGGGTGTGGGGCTGGGCACTGCCCCGGGGTTGTGGGGACCAGACCTCCTCGGCACCCCTTCTCCAGCCTGGCTCTGCCCCGGGAAGGTCCCTGCTCCCTGGTAGAGGGGATGGCAAGCAGATCCTGGCATCGTCGTGGCCCCACCGCAGCCAGCTACTCTTCACCGCCATGGCTTCACACCCAGGGTGTTGGCCCACAGTTTCAGGGTGTCCAGCCAAGAGCAGAAGCCAAGAATTCCAGGTAAGGGAGAAAAAACAAGAGTCAGGAAATAATTAAAGCCGTGCAATACCGCCATACGCACCACAATCCTGTGCCTGGCACTGCCCACGCGGTGAGCGGCCGATAAGGCGAGGGTCCGCACGGCTCAGCGGTGACCACGGCACAGGAGCCGTGCTTGCCTGGGACCCGGCCCTCCTTCCCACGCCATGGTGGGCGGCGTGGGCTGGCCGGCAGCCCCCCAGAGAGGCCAGTGGGACCCTTTGGGGTACACAGAGGCACCGGGGACATGTCACATCCCCCCCACCCACTCACCCTGAGCACCCAGCGGTCTCCGCAGCCCCCTCCCGCACCAATCTGGCACAGCTTTTCTGCCGCAGGTTTATTTCTAAAACAAGGAGGCTCACACGATGGCAGGGTTCGCAGGAGCAGGGGGGTTCCTGGGGGTGGCCCAGGCACTGCCGGCTGCGGTGGGGGCCATGGCCACGGCACAGGGCTCCCCTGGGGCTGCCTCGGGACCCCCCACCCGCTGCCCACTCCGGTAGCGCCGCACCGAGCAGTAGCAGCCGGCCATGCCCACGGCGGTGAGGATGGAGCACATGGCCACCATGGCCAGCATGGTGGCGGGGACGGGGAGAGCCGACCCTGCAGGGAAAGGCAGTGGGGTGAGGGGGATGGCAGGGTCACCCCAGCCACCCCCCAGCACCGTGGGGCAGCTCACACTCACCCGAGTCCCTCTTCTCCCCCCGCACCACGGGGACAGAGGGGTGGTGAGGCGGTGCCGTGCCGGGCTCCGGTGCCGTGGGGAGCCCCGTGGGGGCCGGGGACGAGCTGGGCAGAGCCGAGAGCAGCCCCAGGGGACCGAGGCGGACGCTGGCTTCTCCCAGGAGCCCTGCAAGGAGAAGTCCATCAGGCACCGCTGGGCACAGGCATCCCCTGTAGGGCTCATGGATCCCACCAAGGGGGTCCTCTTACCTCCGCTGCCAGCCAGCCGGCGCTGCCGCCGGCCCCCGCAGCCGGCCGGGGACCCACAGCACGAGCAGTCGGCCCCATCTGGGGAGCGCCAGGCGGCTGCCACACGGTCGTAGGAACAGGCTTTGCCGGAGGTGCTGCCAGCCCCCTCTGTCACAGCCTTCAGGTGACAGCGGAGGTAGATCTGCAGGGACAAGCATCCTCCTGCCGCACCACCCGAGCGGTTCTCCACCGATCAGCCCCGGCCACCCCTTCCCCGCGCTGGTGGGTGGGTGTCACCCCGCACCCCCAGACCCTGCTGCCACAGACCTGCCTGCCGGAGGCGTTTGGGAAGAGGAAGGTATCCAGCTGGAAGCGGAGGAAGCCGTCTCCACGCTGGGGTAGGAAGCGGGAGCGACCAAGCTGCCCATCCAGCAGGCACCTGCCGGGATGGGAGACGGGGTGAGATGGGTGCTGCCACCCCCCCAGGCTCTGCCATTGCCTGCAGGGTCCCGGCGAGGAGGGAGAGCGGCAATTTGGGGCAGCAGCCACCACCCCATGCCCAGCCCTGGTGCTCACCCATTGTCAGCGATGACCTCGTATTTCAGCCGCGCCGCCGCGCTCGGGCTGGCCACGCACTCGTCCACGAAGACCCTCAGGGGCAGACGGGGGTCGGTGCTCACCGACGCCTCGATGTTGATCAGCTCCCCCAGGGAATAGGTGGGCTGGCGCAGGCGGGAGGACCAGGTACCTGGAAGGCACACGGCTGCGGCCGCCCCGAGCATCGCCCCGGGGCCCTGGCCAGGCAGGGGGGTCCCCCCCACCCAGGGGAATGAGGGGGTCTGGGGCTCCCCCACTCACTGTCATACACATCCAGGGCGAAGCGCAAGCGTCTCTGGTGAGCGACGGTGGAGCCGAAGGGGACCCAGGTGGGCTGGACAGCCCCGGACGAAACACTGCCCGTCCTGCGCCACAAAGCGTCCTTGAGCGGGGTGACAGGCACCCGGGGGCAGGCAGGGCACCCCAGGCACCCCACCGCCCCCTCCCTGCCCAGAACGGGCTGGTGGCCGAGGCACCGAGGGATCCCGTCGTGGATCACACCCAGGGAGGGTGGGCACACGGGGCTCAGCCGGAGCCCGGCTCCGTGGGGCTCCCCGTTTACCTGGGGTAGTAACACTCCACGGGGAGGGAGAAGGGTCTGGCGCGAGCCACGGGCCCCCCGGCCGCGGGACGGTAACGGAGGACGTTGCTGTAGCGGATGCTGCCTGGGAGGAGCTGGGGGAATGAGCAGACGTGGGGCTGGAGGTGTCACCAGCCTCAGAACGGGTGTCCCCTCCCCGTCCCCAGCACCGCGGGAGGAGTGCTGCCAGCCCGGGAGCCAGAAAGCTGCTCGGCACACGGTGAGAGCCGGGTTCCAGGTCATCGGTAACGGTCTCGCTCACATGAACTGGCGCTCCCAGCCTCGCACAAAGGGTGGTTGTGCCCGTGGCTGCTGCCGGGGACTGTGCCAGGGGGACGGCAGGACCCAGGGGTCTGGCCCTGGAGCTCACCCAACACGTGGGTGCGGTGACAATGACGGCACAGGCACCCTGGGGAGAGGGGTGGTTGTGGAGGACCCACCACGCCTGTCCCACGTGGCTTCCTTCCCAGCCACGGGGGCTTCGGCAGGCACAGCCAAGGATGCCCTGACACTGTCCCTCCCCTCTGGGACGTGGTGTCCCCCCCCTCCATCCTACAGCCGCCTCAAGGAGGGCCACGCTGCCGCAGCCCCTCCGACAGGGACACGTAGCCACCCCTGGCTCCTCACCTCCAGGGTGGTCCCGCAGCCCACAAGCGGGTGCTCCAGCCGAGAGGAGAGGAGAGGAGAGGAGAGGAGAGGAGAGGAAGGGCTGAGCCAGCTCGCCGGGGACCCCCAGGCTGCCTGCTCCCAGGGCAGCAAGTCAGCAAGCCCCCAGTACCGATGTCCCCTCGAGTTCCCCCATTTTATCACTGACAGCCTTGGGGAGGACAGGGAAGGAGGTGGCCCCAGGGGCTGAGCTGCTTTGTGCTGTCACCCTAGGGCACCGATGTGGCCAGGATGCTCCAGATGGGTCCCCATGGGGAGATGGGGATGCAGGACCCCCCCCCCCCAGGGCTTCCCTCATTCCAGATGCCCCAAACCTGGTGCTTGAGGCAGCCTGACCTACAGACCTGCCCTGCCTGGGGTGGAGAAGAGACTGTAGTCTTCCTCTGCTGGCAGCCAGGCGTCTCCCATGCCCAACACCCCACAGCAAACAGCCGTGGCCAGGGCAGAGGCACCCAGCAGCCCAGCCTGGGGGGGCACTGCCCGCTCCCCCTCCCCAGGGAGGGCAGGAGACCCAGCAGGGCTCCCCCCAAAACAGCCCCTTACCCAGGGCATCCTGCGCCCAGGCTGCGGTCGCAAGAAAGAGCACAAACCACCTTCTCCTGAGAGCCTTCATCGTGATGGAGGAGGAAGAGGAGGGGCAGCCTCCACTGATGGGTTTTTACCCCTGGGCCAAGGTCGATGGCCGCAGCTCTCCCAATGGGAGGCCGGGTGGGCCCTGCAGCCCCACGCCCAGCCCCTCGCACCCAGCTGGGGCCCGTCTCCGCAGAGCTTTCCTCCTCCCGGAGGGCAAACCAAGGGCCCCGGTCCCTGGCCCTGTCCTTGCCCCAGCCCTGCTCCTTCCCCTGGTCCTGGTCCCTGCCCCGGTCCTGGTCCCTGCCCCTGCCTGGGGGACGATGGAGAGGGTGGGGGTCAATCTCTGGCCGTGTGCTGCCCTCCTCGCCCCAAAAGCAGGCTGGCCCTCGCACGCAGGGTGACGAGCGTGTCCTTGGGGCACCCTCCCACTGCAGAGCCTCTGGGGAAACTGAGGCACGCGAAGGGTGCTGAGAGGGGTCCCTCGAGCTGTGCTGGGACAAGGGGGGCACCCGGCTCACCCAGGCACCCCCAGCCTGCCCTCCCCATCCCGGCTGCCTCCGGCCTCTGGCATGGGGCAGCAGGCAGGGGTGGGCAGCCCCCAGCGCTCCGTGGGGAGCAGCCTGGGGTAGAAAACGACCCGGCTGGTGGACCCAGAGCTGCCCCCGAGCCCCCGCGTCCTGCTCGCCCACGGTGCTGGCGGCAGAGCTGCTGCGTAACCACGGCCGCTACGCGGTCACCCACACCGGTAAGGAAAGTCTCCGCCGGTGCGCTCCGTTCCAGGTGCAGAACCCGGCATTTTTCCTGTTAAATTCCCTGCCATTGATGATTGCCCGAAGCTCCCAACCCTCTGCAGGGTATCTGTCCCTCGAGGCAGTCACCAGTACCTCCCAGTTTGTTACTGGCAGCAAATTTGCTAAGGGTGTGTTCAACTGCAGCGACTGGCCTCCAGCCAGCTGCAGCCCCGGTCCCTACACCCTTTTGATGGCACTGTCCTTTAAATACTTTTCAATACCGCAAATAGCAACCAGGGTAACTTCCCCCATCATTTTTCCGGGTACTGAGGTTAGACTAACAAGGCTGTCGTTCCCTGGAAGGTACAAGCCCTCTTTGTAAACTGGGAAACAGCTGGCGAGCTTCCAGCCAGCAGGGACCTCCCCAAGCGCCCAGGACCTTGGGGAGATTGGGGTTGGGGAGGGGGGGTTCCTGCTGTGACACCCACCAGCCCCCGGATGAATCTCAGCCAGTCCCACAGAGGACGTTCAACTGGTCCAACTGGTCCCTTGCGATTTCAGTGACCTCAAATGGAAAATCCCTGCCCCTGCAGCGGTGACCCTCCAACTCTGTTTGACACCCTTGGGCACACAGATAAGCAGGTGGTGCTTGGCAGTGCCAGGAGGGCTGTGGAAGGGCAGGTGACCGGATCAGAGCAGATAAAAACGGAGAGGACGCCCGGAGAGACAAGCGCCGAAGGGACTGCGCCGGCCTGAGTGGATCTGCTTGCCCCGAGGAGGAGAGGATGCTGCGTGTGGCTTTCGGCATCGGGGTCCTGCTGGCCCTGGTGGGCGGCACAGCCACGCAGGGCTGCGGTGAGTGTCAGCCCTCCCGCAGAGGCAGCGGAGCGGGACCGGTGGCCCTGCCAGGGGGTGCATGGAGGGGACATGGGGTCCCCAGTGACCTCCCGCCGTGAGTGCCAGCGGGGTTCCCGGCCCCTCTCCTTCCAGTTGCCCCGCAACACCTGGTCTCCAAGCTGCTGCACAGGCTGGAGAAGTCCGTCAAGAAGGACGAGCCGCCAAACCCCAGCGTCCTGCTGGCCATGAACCTGGCCGGGGCCAGGGGCAGCAACACCCACAAGTGGCTGCTCCATGCGATACAGGAGGAGGCCGTGAAAAGAGCTCACAAAGGTAGGGAGGGGCGGGGGGTGCACCCCCGCCGCGGCACCCAGTCCCGGCGGACGCGGTACCGCAGGTTTGGCACCACCGGCTCTCTCCACCCCGGCCGAGGACCAGGGTGCCAGGTCCTGTCCCCTTTCATGCCCTGGCTGCTCTCTTGTCCCCGCAGACATGACCTCGGGAGAGGTGGCTCTGTACGTGCTCGCCCTCCTCTCCTCCTGCCAGGACCCCCAGCATGTCCACGCCCTGGGGCAAACCGTCGACCTGCTCCGCATCCTGCAGCAGAAAACGGACGAGGAGATGGCCACCCTGGGTACGCCGGGGTGGGAGGGAGGACCCAGGGTGCTGGGGGAGGCATCTCCCTCCCCGCGCCCCGGCTCCCCCTCAGCTCGCCGCGCTTTGCTTTGCAGAGATGACCGGGCATCCCAAGACCACCCTGTACAGCATGAGCCTGGACGCCCTGGGCCTGTGCCTCTCGGGGGCAAGCGGCTATGAAACACCATCCGTGGCCCTGGCCAAGGAGGTGCTGAGCCCTGACAGCCACCTCTCCGTGGGTAAGGGTCCCCTCCGGCCCCATCGTGTCCCCTCCCCTCGCAAAGCGAGTCGTAGTGACGCCAGGATCTGGCAGACACCCGTGCCGTGGCGGCGCTGGCGCTGGCGTGCACGTACGACCACGTAAACCTCCACGACATGCGGGACCTGCTCCAGAAGGCACTGTCGACGGTGACCAACGGCTTCCTCAACGAGCAGGAGAAGCAGCATGGCATGATTGGGAACATCTACAGCATGGGGCTGGCCCTGCAGGTACAGGGTGGGGCTGCGGCGCTGCGGTGGCCCGGTGCCGCTCCCGGGGCTGCTCACGCCGCCTCCCTCCTCCTCCTCCTCCTCAGGCGCTGGAGGCCACGGTTAAGTTTTACGCCCCGCGGAAGTGGAACTGCGCCCAGGCCTTCTCCGTGGTGTACGGCCATGACTATCGCCAGCCCATGGCCATCGCCCAGGTCCTGCCTGCCCTCGTGGGCAGATCCTACATGGAAGCGGCTGACCTGGACTGTGCCAGCACAACCCTGCACCCCCTGTTGTCCCTGTCCCCAGAGTTGGGTACAACAGAGGTTCTTAGAGGTACGGCTGGAGCATCCCCAGACCCCCCAGGGACAACACTGCTGGACCCCCCCCTGCCCTATGGCGGGCACCCACCTTGCCCTTCTCCCCTCCCCGCAGCCCCCATCACGGTGCACTACTCCATCATCAACAAGCTGCAGGGAACGCCCTTCAGCTACACCACCACCGTGCAGGTCCCGGGCGGCTCCACGCTGCTCACGGTGCTGCAGGAGGCAGCGAAGGAAAACCCCCAGACCTTTAGGTGAGAGCCAGAGGGGCCAGGGCGGGGGGAACATGGCATCCCCCCGCCTCGCACCAAGCCCCGAGCCCGCCCGTTTCTCCGGCAGCTTCCAGACAGAGCAGACGTCCTGGGGGCCCATGGTGGTCTCCATCCACGGGCTGGCAGCCGACTCGGAGGACAGAACCTACTGGCAGTTCCTCAGCGCCGGGGACCCCCTCTCGGAAGGTGGGCGGCCCAGGCTGGGGGGGCCGCGCCGGGGGTCTCGCTGCCCCGGCCTCACCTCTGTCCCTTCGCCGCAGGGGTCGGTAGCTACAAACCGCGGGACGGGGAGCACATCCAGGCCGTCTTCAGCACCTACTGAAGCCCGCCGGCCTCACCCTGAAGGCAATAAAGAGCCATTTGCAGCGCAGCCCCGTCTGTGTGTGTCTGAGGGGGGGGACGCAGGGCCCGGACCCGGACCCTCCGTGGGGACCACCCGAGGCCTCCGGGAGAGGGTTGCGGCAGCCCCTGGGAGGGACACGGGGGCCTCGACGGGACACCGAGGCGGAGCGGAGGGGTCCTGCCCGGCGGGGACCCATGGCCGGCCCGGGGTGGGGGTCCGGGGG